ATTAATCGCACTCCTTTGAACCAATCAGATTGCAGGATTTGGTAGTGATTACAAAAAGGATTAGAATTAYTAATTTAATTATGGTAATACTAATTTCATAAAGTTTACGATTTGCCCTTATGATTAATACAGAGAATGTTTTGAAATAACTGAATCGGTTTATTTTGAAGCAAAATCGTGTCCTGTGTGTATCCTTCAATGTTTTTGGCATTTGCTTGCSCTTTGTCGTGTAACATATAAAATGTACATCTATATTTTTAAAATTTATATTTTTTTACACCTTTACATAAACTCTCAAAACGTTTTGTTTTAAAAAAGCAAGCATTTCTTTAATACTATAATTATTTATTGMATGCAGTTGAAAATTATCTCAATATGCGTAAAACACCTATTTCGTTTATTCCAACAGGACAAAAAGAGCACGTGAATGCAAAACGGTCTGGTAAAAAGTTAGGTGCAGGTCCTTTAGCAGGCCTAGTGATTGGCRTAATAGTAGCCATAGTTATAGTGGTAGTTGCAGTAATCCTTATCAGAAGACGATGTTTTAGAAAAAGAAGTGGCGATCATGAACAACTGGTTGATATGGATGAACTTTAACCAAAGAAATGTCTGAATGTCTATTAAATTCTAATTCCATCTTGGCTTTCACCTATAGTTTCGAGCCTAGTTCTGTTGATATTCTAGTTCTGTTGATATAAAGCCTAATTGATTTTAGATTTTTTTAGCTTTACAGAAAACGCATCTTGCGAAAAAAGAAACAATATTCTACAAAAATGGCCYTAGGCCTGAAATGAAACAAAATAAAAGGTTCTTTTGCTTCGTTGTTCATCAACATTTTGGCCGGGCAAGAAACTAGCTTGTACTGATTTCCAAACTCGGATGAAATACCAACACCAACACAGCAAAGGTTATGTTGTTAGAATATTATATGTACATAGCTATATGTAGTTTAAAATGCACATTTTTAATCAAGCATTTTCCCTGAGTTCAACCGACTTGTAATAAAATGAAAAGTAAGTTGGYTTTAGTTGTTTAAAATTGCTTGCACAAGTTTAATACACCAAACAATGTACCTTCCAGGGTAGTGAAGACAACTGACCCGTGTCACATAATGTTGAAGAATGCTATCTGGGTAAGGATCCTGACGYTGCTCAATACAGACCCCTTCCCTCCTCCCCCAGGGTATAGAACTTTACTGTTGCTTCTCTACTGGACGTGTGCATCTTTGACCGCTTCTCCTCCAACCCTCGGTCTTAGCCACTGATAGGCGGATAATGATATTAGATTACGCGTTAAAGTAACAAAAAAAAGGGGGAAATGATGTATGCACTCCAAGATTGCGTTTTACTGAATTGCAACTTTGTATAGAGTCATGTTGAAATCAGGCGGTTTTACAATCCACCCATTGTACTTTTGGGCCTTTCTTTSATCAATTTCAGATATCATTATTTTACRAAATGTGGAAAGYTTAAAAATAAAATCAATTWTTAAATAAAATYGTGTAGAAATTTACYTTTTATTAACAATAACACTGTAGTTTYCTTTTCTCTTGTRYTTTGTTTGCCCYCTGGGTGGACTGGTAATAATCCCATCATCCAGCACGACCCGAGTATTAGCAAAGTCGTTTATTGAAAGCTGAATTAAAAAGCACGAGAAATTG